GCCTCTACCTTACCACGTAGCCGAGGATGCCCTTAAACTCATGATCCTCTGCTTCTGCTTCCCCAGCACCGGGATTACAGCTGTGTGGACCACTACACCCAGTTTATTCAGTGCTGGGGATGGAGACCAGGGCTCCATACATGCTAAGCAAGCAATCTACCCACTGAGGCCCAGCCCCAGCCTAGCCCTGTCTGCTGTGAACCTTTCCTGGGAAGCCCTGTCCCCTTTCTAGGGCAGCATCCTACCTCCCATACCTGGAACAATGCTTCTCCACAGGGACAGGCATCTCCTGAGTTGTGGACTCAGGTCTCCCACCATTCTACCAGGCAGTTTCCTCTCTTGTCCCCTTCCTGGCCTCAGTCTTACTCAGCTCCTGGATCTATGACACACCACACTGAGCTGGGTGCCCCACCTCTCGGCTGTCTGTGTCCCTCTGAACCCTCACAATGGCACCAGTGGCGTGTAACCCTCTGGTCCCAACCTGTCAGTGCCTGTCCCTGCCTCCCCACCAGAGGGAGAGCCCACCGAGGGCAGGGGCCAGAGCTGACTCAGATATTTCCCCACCACCCTAGGTTGGGCACACTGGGAGCTGTCAGGAAATGTCTGCAATCCCGATCCTTATCTTTCCCCTGCTGGGAGAGCTGCAGGGCTTGCTTCTGCATCTCCTGCCTGCCCCTCACCTCTCTCCTCTCTCACCTCTGGCCTGTCCTCCAGCCTCAGATTTCAGGCTAGCCATTCCCTCGGCCAGGAACACTTTCCTGCAGTCAGCAAAGCACTCTGACCCACTTTACATGGTTCTGTGCTGGGGCAGGGCTCTCTCCCCAAGGCCACCCCTTTTCTGCTTAAATGGACAGGATACAGTCCCCACTGACACCCCTCAGCACCAGACTGCTGCAGAATATTGTGCCATGTACCCCTCCCTCTCTTCTCCCTCTTCATTTCTTCCCAGCTCTCTCCTTCTCTGGCCTTTGTCCCGAGCAGCTTCTGTAGTTTGCTGCATCACAGGTCTCATACTGAGTCTGAGCAAGGCATGGACACAAGCATCTTTGTGTGAACTTCTCCAGTTCCAGGGCTTTCTAGATTTGGAGGCCGATGCTGCCTGGGCTCAGGCTGGAAACCCAGCTTCGGGGGCAAGGCCACCTGGTGAGCAGATGTAGTCACAGCGCCCTCTTGTGGTCAAATCTGGATACAGCGCCTTCCTAACACTAGAAGCCCAGGAGGAGGGCAAAGTCCCAGGGACGCCCTGCTGTGTATGCATCAGGAAGCAGGTCATCCGGATCCCAGAGTAAGGATCAAGAGCCCCTGCCCCCTCCCCGAGTCACTGCTATGTGACTCTGGGAAAGTTACTTGGCTGGGTTGCACGTTCAGTTACCATAAAGTATTAAACATACATTACTCTCATATTCCTGCACTAACAAGGGAGGAACGCCTTCTTGGCACTAGGCCAGCCCCACAAACACACAAGCGTGGAGCTGTACAGTCTACCTGGAGAATATTCAGCTCCGCCCACCCCAGTCCCTCATCCCCCACTTCTTATCCACAGCTGCTTCTCTTTTAGCAGCCAAGCGATTTTCAGAAAGTGGTCGTTGGATGGACTCCCGGAATAGAAGCCCTCGGAAGACTGGCCTTCACTGTTAGAATAAAACCCAAGTATTCGACTGCACACACCTGGTCCAGCTCCGATGTGGCTAATGGAAGCCCCTGCTGGATCCCTGGAAGGGATCAAGGTTATTCCCATACCCTAGCTGCTGAATTGGCAGTTCCCTCCTCTAGAGGGAGCTCTTCCCCAAGAAATCTTTGAGATTCGTCCCCTTACTTTATGTGGGTCCTGCTTCTTCCTCCCTTCCTCTATTCTACTTAAAACAAACAAACCTTTGTGCTGGATCTGTAGCTGGGAGATAGACTGTCTAGAATCCCCAGGAGGTGTGGCTCAGTGGTAGAGCCCCTGCCTAGGTCTCCAGTGAGGGGCTGGGAGTGTGGCTCAGCATGTTAGGGCCTTCATTCAATCTCCAGCAAAATCATCCTGAGTGAGGTAACCCAAACCCAGAAAGACAATCATGGTATGTACTCACTCATAAGTGGATTCTAGATATAAAATAAAGAACAATCAGACTACAACCCATAGAACCATAGAAGATATATATATATATATATAGCATGGAGGTCCCTAGGACAACTGTGGCTTATAATAAATTTCAGTTTTACTCAATTACTGAGCAAGCATCAATGAAATATCTCACTATTAAGATAAGAATACATACTCTATCAAGCTGATAATAGAAAAATTAATTAATTAATTTTAAACAATAAAAAAATAAATAAAAATAAAAGAAAATTTTGAAATATTAAACAAACATTTTACTAAAGTTAAAAAAAGGGAGAACTAGGGACTCATCATTCCTCTCCACATTCTATCCTTTCCCTTGTTTTATATATTTTAAATTTTTTTATCGGTGGGTTCTGCTGGAGTTTATCGGTGGATTCTGTTGGAGGATCCGATGCAGATAAATACTGGAGGGCTCCTGTTGCAAATCACCCTCTGGAGCGATGGAAGGATCTTTGTACTAGCATGTGGAGGAGATCTGATCTAGTGTTGGTGTGGCCCTTGGGTTCTGTTTATGTCTTTCTTCAGGACAATGAGGTTCCTCTTTGGATTCCCGAGCACTGAACGCCCCCTGTGGCTGCTGCAGAACCCCAACATGACAGAGACCTAATGGGTCATCATGAAAAAATCTACCCTTCTGATGCCAATGGAGATTGAGAGCCCAATGTGGCCAGCTTTGGCAAGCATTAATGTAAGCCTAGGAACTGTAGCCATGAGACTGGATTCTCCAGAAGAGCTGCCAGCTAAAGTCGTGCGGCGATCAAGAAAAATGGGCCTTGGAGGTTCGTGTTCCTGGAGTTGTACCCATGCCAGTGGATGTCCACACACTCCAGAAGAGAATCTGACATTGCTGCTGCCACTGTTGCTGTTATAACAATGGCGCACACCGCTGCTACTGATTCTGGGATTGCCATTTCATAATTGCTTACTACAGCTAGCACAGTGGAGACCCTGGCAACAAAAGTAGCTACCACAGTTAATCTTTCATTCTATTGGGCATGATAAATTTAATTCAATAGTTATATACATCTCGACTGTCTTTGAAAATTATAAATTTATAAACTCAAGTTCCAGTTGCTTTTGGGATACTATCTTACATGGACTCCAACGTACAGTATGGCTCATTAAGGAAGGGAATGGCTCAGTTGCCTTTAGCCTCCTAGCTATGGGTGAGATAGGACCTCTGTTGGTCTTTTCTGTATCAAACACACAGAGTACAAGCCCAGTGCCACTTTGAGATCTTTGGCAGCAATTAACTATGCAGCTCACACACGATTGAGCCTGTATGATAATGAGTATTCAGAGACGGGTAATATCTGGGGGGCACTCACCAACCTAAGACAGAGCACCTGTGTGGCCTGTGCAGGAGTCTCCATGATAGGTAAGGTGACCTGCTGACGTCCCATGCAACCCAAGTCAGAAGCTCATTTTTTAATAAAAGGGGGACCTGTAGGTCCCTGGCCCCCGTTTTGGGTAACTGTTGCCTTGCTTGTAGACCTTGACCTTGATATCCTCCCTATGCTAATTCCCTGCCAGGTTCCACCCTCCTGAATGCTTAAGGGAAGTTCCTTGCATGTGTATCCTGAATAATGGGCGTTAACAGCTTAGATGCAAGATTGTAAAACATCAGTAGCGAACTTCTGCCCTCCAGGGTCCTCCCATTGTGCTGTAAGCCTGTATTTAAGACCTCCTACCCCCTTTAAGAAATGACATTCAACATTTAAAATTTTATATATATATATATATATATATATATATATATATATAATTGAATGAATACTGTGAATGTAATCTATGACTACCACAAATGTGGCTAATATCATGAGTGTAATTAATGAATATCATGAATGTAATTTAAAAAATAAATAAAAAAATAAAAATTTTAAAAAAGCAAAAAAAAGAAAAAGAAAAGAAAAGAAAAAAGAAAAAGTGGCAGTCACAATGGCCCAGTTTTTATTTGTATATTGTCCTTTTCTCCCAGGCTGCAAATGCCTGGAGGGAGGGGCTCCTATCTCTGCCCACTGCAGCTTCCTGGTACCTAGAGGACCAGACAAAGGAATGTCCAATATTTGCCGAATGAACAATTGACATGGTGCTTAATAAGCCCCGGGGAACTGAAGGAGGCAAGGCATCCATTTCTGCCTTTCAGGCCTATCTTCATTAGCAAACTGGGTACCTACTAAGTTCAAGAAGTCAACAGGTCACTTCTATGAGGACAGGACTGCAAAGACTAAGGAGCACCCTCTGTCCAGGGTTCGGGAAGGATCAGGGAAGGCTTCTAGTACTCTGGTGCAGGAGACGTTAGCTCTTGAGAAGCCAGGTCACACCTGGAGGGGAGACTGGCGCCACCACGTCTCTTGGGGAAGTTTCCTCAGCCTCTCAATTTCCTATACGGCAGGGCAACACCCAGAAGCCTGGAGCCCCCTGGTGGCCAATCCTAAAATGCAGACCGAAGCTGGACATGGTTGGCCAGCTCCTTTGACCACTGGACTCTGATCTCTCCAGAGATCTGATGGGGTGAAGGCAAGCCAATTCTATTCTCACAGGAGGAAACGGTAGATTAGAGAGGTTAAGACAGGGACCTGGCACAAGTTCTGTCTACAGAGTCCAGGCTTGGAGTGCCTTCCTCACCCACAAGGCAGTCACCCTCCCACAAGAGATTCCAGGAGTAGGCAAGGGCTGGTGACAGCCCCCGTGGCCTTCCAGCTGAGTGACCAATAGCCATGTACAACCATGAGGTTGCCATAGGGAAGAAACAAGAAGGTACCTATAAGACCACAAAGCAAAGCTTAAAACGAAGCCCCTAGAAAGCATGTGTGTGTTGAAGACTCGCATGCCGCATGCTCACTCTGTTAGGTTTCCATTGCTGCGGTAAAACATCATGACCAAAAGCATCTTAGGGAGGAAAGGTTTTATTTCTCTCATCTCTCGGGTCACACTCCATTAGCAAGGGAAGTCAGAGCAGGAACTGAGGCAGAGGCCATGGAGGAACACTGCTTACTGGCTTGCTCAGCCTGCTTTCTTATAGTACCCAGAATCACCTGCCTAGGGACTGCACCACTCTCAGTGGGCTGGGCCCTTCCAGATCAATCATCAATCAAGAAAATGCCCTATGGGCCGATCTTATGGAGGCATTTTGTCAGGTGATCCCAGCCTGGGTCAAGTTGGCAAAATAAAACCAAAAAGCACCAACCAGGACACTGACCCAACAGTCATACGAAAACCATGCAAGCTTGGTTTGGAATGTATCAACTCAGCAGACCACTGTCTTCCAAGGACTCGCAGGCTAAGACGCCATCAGAGAGCAGCTGAGGCCCACAGCAGGGGTTTCCCAAGCCTTGCTATCACCTGCCTACACCAGTGTGTTTGGCCAATAGGCTTGATTAATGACCTTCTGTAGATCTAGGGCTGTAAATGTTTGTGTAACTGCTTCCACAGCAGCGTTCCGGGGCAACCTGAATCCATGCACCCGGCCATGGAAACCCTTAGCTGGTTCAGAATAGGCTTTCTCTGATTCCCTTAGGAGCAAGAGCTGTGTTTTACCTCGATGAAAGGGGCACAGTGATGATTGTGAATATGTTTCTCCTACTCGTTTCGCTTTGTTTACCTGACTTGGGCAAACAAAGTGAGAGCCAGGGCTTTCCTGAGCCCACAGAAGTGCGTGGAAATGCACAGTTGTTGGTCTCTTCTCCCTCAACTTCTCCAAGGTTCAGGTTGCTGCACAGGGCACGGTCCTCCCATGAGACACAGTCACTTCACAGGGCTCAGGTCCCATAAGACACAGACAGGTAGCTCTAGAAGGGCAGGACACTGCAGGGCAGTCACTTCACAGTGCACAGATTGCTTCACAGGCACAGGGCACTACAGAGTACAGTCACTTCCCAGGGCACAGGGCAATGTAGAGTGCAGGGCTTAGGTCACTCAGTGGCGCTCAGGTCACTCTGCAGGGCACAGGGGGCTCCTGCCTGGCCCCCTCCATCCCGGCAGAGGGTGGCTCCATCTCTGGATTGCTCACAGGTGCAGGGTCCCCGTGGGGCCACAGGGTCACTGGTGGCCTGGCTCCGGTTCCCGGGCAGTGGTGGCTGGGCTTGCAGCACGCGGCGGCCCTTGCCAATGGCCAGGCGTGGCAGGCCTCGGTTGAGGCCATCTAGCAGCGCACAGGCCTGGCAGAGTGTGTGACTGGCCAGCGCCCCGCAGCGGGAGCAGGTGCCTGGAGGAGGCGGCCGAGCCGCCGGGGCAAGAGCGAGGCGCTCTGCCGAGTGCACGAGGTCCAGCACTGTGGATGGCCGCGCCGCCTCCAGCTGCTTGAGCAGGTCGCGAGCGTGGCCGCGGAAGGCCTCGGGCGCGTACACGCACTCCTCGGAGAAGTAGCGCAGGCGGCGGAAGTGCGCGTACAGCACCACCTCCTTCTGCGAAGCGAACTGCAGTGGCCGGCACCGCGGGAGGGCGCACCCCTCGCCCCCAGAGCCCAGCACTCCGCCCCGTGCCAGCCGCCCCGTATCACCACGCAGGAAGTTCATGAGCACTGTCTCCGCCATATCGTCGGCATTGTGGCCTGCGGGAGAGAGCTTGGGTGAAGGATGGGGACAGACAAGAGGGGCCGGGAGGGGGCGCCAAGAACCCCTGGAAATGGAAAGTGGAGGACGCTGTTGGGAACCCCTGGACCAGGAGACCGAGGGGAGGATCCTATAGATAGAACTTCAGTAATGAGATAATGGAGAAGAGACCATAAAGTGGGGACACAGACAACCCAGAGAGAAGAGGGGGCGGTGGAGACACCATGCCACCCCACGGCCTCGCAGGATACACTACCCCTCCACACCCTTCCTGTGCTCACCTGTCACGATATGTGTAGCTCCCACTAGGCGAGCGCCCTCCTCCAGCGCCCTCCTCCGCAGCACCCCGCAGAAGGTGCAGCAGGAACGGCTGCGGCCAGAGCCGGCCGTGCTGCGGGCCACGGCGTCCATCGTCCAGCCCCCGAACAGGTCTGCATAGGCCACAATGGTGAGCGGCAGCTCCCAGCGCGCTGCCTGGCTGCTCACGGCCTCCAGCGCTGCGTCACGGTAGCCGCCGATGCCTTCGTCCACCGCCACCAGGTGCAGCGTGATGCCCAGGCGCGGCGTGAGCTCGCGCAGCACATGTGCCAGGACCGTGGAGTCCTTGCCGCCCGAGGCGCCCACGGCCACCACGGCACCCGGGGGCAGCAGGCGCCCTGCGAGCACTGTGTGCAGCACCTCGGCCTCAAAGGCCGCACAGAAGCAGGAGCCGCACAGCGCCTGCCCTGAGCGCGGGCGGCGGAGAGCAGCACGGGCCGCGTGGCAGGAGGAACACGTTGGGGCGGGCATCGCGGGAAGCTTGTGATGTCTACACTGTGAAGGAAAGAGTAGGAGATCATTTGGGGCGTCTACACTGCAGGGCTGATGGGAGAGGAGAGGGGTCAAAAGAGATACCCACAATGCTGGGCTAATGGAAAAAGAAGGGAAGCTGGTCACCCAGGATGTCTGCACTCTGGCACTGAAGGGAGAGAGAAGCAGGTCACATGGATAGTCTATGTTGTGTGGAGGCTGCGGAAATGACGTCCTACCCAGAATGGCCCTTGCACAGGGGAGACTAAGGGAAGGGCAGCTTCTTTCTGCATCAAGAAAACAAAGACCCGACGATGTGATTTCAGGGGGGCAGGGAGGAAGACATGCAAGAAGTGAGGTGCCTTTAAGAACACGTTGCACAGTTTTGAGGTCACTATTGTTACAGCCTTGACCATGAAGACGAGGTAGGTGTCACTGACTTTGACTTCCAGGGCTGACCAGAACCCGGAAAAGCCTGCTATTTGTAGACAGAGGGCTACAGATGTTTGGATTTTAGTAGAGGAGGTAGGATACCAGACAGCACCCCTCAAAGGCATGGTGCCCTCCTCCTCTAGGCACACCGCAGCCTCCTGCATCACCTCTAGGTTACCGGTTCTGCTGAACCAGTAAAAACTTTCGGGGCTCAGTCCTCTCCCCCAGAGCACCGCATCTCCAGCTTGGACTGTTCAGTAGCCTCCTGTCAATCCGAGCAGGCACAGCTGCCCTGGGATTGACCACAATGATCAGGATTATCTGGCAACTGCCAACTTACTGCCACTAACTCCCATGAGGGCAGGACCAGTGCCACTCAGCCCTTAACCCCCACATCCCGGATTCCTTTCACCAAATGATGTTCTACAGGGAAATGAAGCTCCGCCCTTCCAGGCACTCAGACTTCACGCTCTGGGGTCTAGGACCACCCTGATCACTCACCCTGTGGGGGGCTCAAAATGCAAAGTCCAGTCTTGACTTGCTTTCCAAAGTCCCTAATCCATCCTCAGAACTCATGTTCAGATCCCCTAAAAGAGTACAGCCCATCCTGTTTGTGGCTTCAAAAGAGAGGGAGAAACCAGATACTTCCCACCTACTCCATGGCCAGCATGCTTGTCTGGGTCATTGGTCTCTGCCTTGATCTCCTCTCCTTTACAATCGCTGTTTTGCATATTAACAATCAGCAGATCCAGCCCAGTTATCTTTTCTATGTTCTTCTGTGACTGAGGTTAGCACTGGCCCACTCACAGCCTGGGAGGCCCTGTGGCTCCTCCCCCTTACTCTCAAGTATCCCAGGAACACACCCCCTTTGGCCCAAAGAGTTCTTTCCGATTGCTGAGCCCAGCAAGCAGCGCTCAGAGCTCACTCATCCCTCATGACGGAGCATTGCTCCTTGAAATATTTCCTTCCTAGCTTTTGATTCTATCCTCCCTCTTGCCTGGATTATGCACCCATCAGTGTCTCACCACTTCATTCCCTCAAGCCCTGCCCAGCAAGCTGAGAATCATCAAGCTCAGAAGGTGCTTCCAGGATCAACCTCCAAATGACCCAGTGAAGATTCTTGCTGGGCAACTTTCAGACCTCAATTGCCCCTGAAATCTGTCCCTTCTGCCTGGCATCTCTGTCTCCTGAGAGTGGCCACCACCTTCTGCCTGGCATTTATTCAGAATGGGGTACAAAGTCACTCTAATGCTGTAAGGGGGTTACTGTTATAAGGAGTAGCTTATGGGCGCAGGCAGAAACGGAAGCCAGGAGACCACATCGGCAGTCCTGAGCTGATGGAGTGAACCAGGCTGAGCTGAGTAAATAGCTGGAAGGGAGAAAATTGTGTACAGACGCTGCAAACCCAGAGGTAATACCAGGCATGGTGGCGCACACCTTTAATCCTAGCACTCACGAGGCACAGACAGGTGAATTTCTGCAAATTCCAGGCTAGCCTGGTCTACATAGTGAGTTCCAGGCCATTCAGGACAACATGGTGAAATCTCGTCTAAAAACAAAAACACAACAAACAAAAAAAACCGAGGGGGTGCCTCCGACTTTATGGCCGACTTTCCATAAAGGGCAGAGGAGAGGTCTCCAGAACTACTTAACTGGGAACAATAGAAGGCAGATGGTCTGCCACCACCAGCTGAACAGAGGCCTGGCAAGAGACCCGATTAGAGGGGATCCTAGTCAGAACACGGGTTGGCAATCATAAAGGCGAGTGCTAAATCCCTTGAGAGACCTTCAACTCTCCGGTGGCACCACAATCCCGAGCTCGCTCGACCCGGAGCAAGAGGAACACTAACCTGGGTGGAATGGGCTCTGCACTCTGCCTGCCACGCGGAAGCCTGGAGCGGAAGCTGCCCTGAGACTACAACTCCCACAAGCCCTTGGAATGCCTTGCCTACGACTACCAGAATGCAACAGCTCCAGCGGAACGCCTGTAACTCTACAGCAGCTTGGACTACAATTCCCAGCAACACTTGAGGGCACGGCTTTGCTTCATCCTATGGCTCCCAAAACGCAGGGCTCCTTAAGGTGCACACGCTGATGTGGAGACCGAGCTCAGGGTACTGCTGTTGCCCTGGCAACGCGAGGTCACCAGGCGAGATGCTTGAAATCAGAAGTGGCTGTGGTCTAATTTCTTAGTTTTGCGATTTATTATATGCTACCGCTGCTTTTTTTTTTTTTTTAAATGGTCTCACTATATAGACCAGGCTGGCCTTGAACTCAGAAAACCCCACCTGCTACTGCCTCCAGAATGCTAAGATTAAAAGCGTATGCCATCTTGCCCCTTTCTATTTCTATTTTCTTTCTTTCCTTTTTTCTTCAGAGAGGTGAAAGGAATCCAGATGACTCACGGCTACACACGCTATTGTAATATACATCAGTAAATTGTCATTGTGTGCTGCTTAAGGTTGCCCAGAACCTGGCTCTGGAGGTGGGATTACCCGCCCCATCCTTTAGACCCAAGCACTGGTTCAGCTGCCAGCTGGCCTCCTGGCCCTGTGAGAAAGAGAGGGAGAACAGCCAGAGATGGAAATGCCGCGTCCTTGAGAACAGAAGGCGAGTACGTTCTCTAAGAAGGATAGCGCATCCTTGAACACAGATGGGAAGTGAGCCGTGCTCAGATACCTCTGCTACTGCTCATCCCGTGCGATATAAACTAAAAATATCTGTTGTGGGAATGGCTGTTTCAGAGACGGTCTGCCTGGGATCCTCTTCTTCAGCCAGAGGCTTCTGCTGACTGTATGGTTCCCCGGCTTCCCCAGCTGTTTCTGCTGGATGTTCGTTACATGTCTGATCTGGTGCCCCGTTATCTCTCTGCAGTCTGCTGTTCATGAACTTGAAATGAAAAGCACTGCTGTCGTGGATCATTCCCCAGTTTGAGACAGCTCTCTCTACAGGCTGAACCACACTCCAGCCCCTCACTAGAGGATTCTAGGCAGGAACTCTATCATTGAGCCACATCCCAGCCTCACACTGGGGAATTCTAACTCAGTGCTCTACCATGGAGCTATGCTGCCAGCGCCTTCCTGGGGAGATTCTAGGCAAATGTTTTAACACTGAGCCATGCCCAAGCTCCACACTGGTGGATACTAGGCAAGCACTCTTCAGAGCTATAGCCTCAACACGTGCCCCTTCCTATGCTTTTGATTTTTAAACAGAGTCTCACTATGTGGCCCATGCAGACCTCAATCCTTCTGACTTTGTCCTCCAAGTAGCTGGAATTACACCTTTGAGCTACAAGTCTGGGTTCAGCTGTGTGGTAGATAGACCTAGACCAGTGGTTCTCAACCTTCCTGATGCTGAAAGACCCTAGCCCTTCAGGCTTACACCCCCAAGCCTCAGGAAAAGAGAAACTTCAAGCACCAGGGAATGAGAAACTAAAAATCTAGTTCCAAGGGCAACCTGACTCAGCCACTACTCAATCACCCCTGCCAAAATGTAACAATATAAAGAAATTTCTGTTAAGAGATGTGCTCAACTGTGACTGGGATAGTTGTAGGTGTTCCAGGAAGGACCACTGTGACCTTTGTGTAAACTCCACTCCTGCCCTGATACCCCCCTTGAGGTTTCAGGAAAAATGTACCTGTTGACATAACTATACCCCTCTGTGATCACTCTGTAACCAGACCATGATGTTGTGAAATAAAATTGTATGGGAATTGTAATCTTATGCCTTTTTTGGGTTTTTCCTTTAAAAGCCCCCATGGGGCTGCAGTAAGATGCGGCTCTTGCTCTCAGGATAAGAGTTTGCCCTACGGTAAAGAAGCTTTAATAATAAAACCTCGTGCTATTGCATCAACTGGACTGGAGTCTGGGTTCTTGGGGCGCCCACTTGAGACCCTAAGCTTTGGGGTCCAACAATGCTGTGACCCTTTAATACAGTTCTGTATGTTATGGTGATCCCCAATCATAAAGTTATTTTCTTTACTACTTTGTGTCTATAATTTTGTTACTATTATGAATCATAATGTAAATATCTGTGTTATCTGATGGTCTTAGGTGACCCCTGTGAAAGGGTCATTCGACCCAAAGGAGTCATGACCTACAGGTTGAGAAATGCTGACCTAGACCATGGGGATGATGTTTCGATACCATAGAAAGAGCCAGCTCAGTTGTCTGACCAGTCCACTCTGTCCTGTGGTCCTTGTGTGTAGCATGAATTCTAATTGGTCTTGATAATAAAAACCCGGAGCCAGATAGTGGAGTAAATGCTGAAAGATCAGAGAGACAAAAGAGCAAGCCACAGCCACCACATCTTACCTCACTAACTCCTCAGCCTGAAAGAGAGTGAGCTCCTGTCTCCTCCCACCTTATAGTCCTTCTCTGTCCAGCCATATCACTTCCTGTTTCCATCTCCCCTAGTGCTGGGATTAAAGGCGTGAGATCCCAAAGGCTGGGATCAAAGGTGTGTGCCACCACTGCCTGGCTCTGTTTATCTTTTAGACTGGATCAATCTTGTGTAGCCTAGGGTGGCCTTGAGCTCACAGAGATCTGTCTGCCCCCTGAGTGCTGGGATTAAAGCTATGTGCCACCACTGCCTGGCCTCTATGGCTAACTAGTGGCTTAACTCTGTACTCTGATCTTCAGGCAAGTTTTATTTGGTGTGTTTATGGCTCAATGCCCTAATTTGCTTCCTAGTTGCTGTGATAAAATACTGACCAAAATGAACTTGCATTTATTTTAGCCTACAGACCACAGTCCATCATCAAGGGAAGCCGTGGCAGGAGCTGAAGTCAGGAGCTGGAGCAGAAATCATGGAGGAACTCTATTTATTGACTTACTTCCAGGCTCCCATTTAACTGCCTTTCTTATACTGGGAGGACCATCTTCCCAGGAGTGGTGCCATCCACAGGGAGCTGAGTCCTCCCACATCAGTCAACAATCAATAAGATCCCACATGGGCTGATCTGACTGAGGCAATTTCTCAGTTGAGGTTCCTTTTGCCTCTGTGTTACAAGTTGATAACCTAGCTTAACCATCACTCTGAAGGAGGGACAGCCGACATTTGTTCACCAGTGTCAGTTAAGTAGAAACTATCACATTTCTGTCCCAGATACTGCATTTCCTGTGGTACCATTACCTTTCAGGAAAATATCACACATGGGAGCTGAGGATATACCTCAATTGATAGAGTGTTTAGCCACGGGTTCAAGTCCCAGCACTGCATAGACCACATGGGTGGTACCTACCTGTAATCTGAGCACTTGGGATGTGGAAGCAAGAGGAGGATGTGGAGTTCAAAGTGGCCTGTGGCCACATAGTGAGTTTGAGGTCTGCCTTGGTTATGTGAGGCCTTCTCTTAATCAACCAGTAAGTAAAATTTAAATGTAATCCATTCAGTACAGTATGTAGAAAAGTTACTGGGAAAAGTAAATTCTCATTTTACTTTTCTCTATTATTCATGGTTACTGTGACTTTCTTCACCTTTTGTTGAGCATCAAAACTTATTCGTTTCCTAATTGATTTAAACCAGCAAGGCTGCATCTGGATCACTCCACTTCCAGTTCTGCTCCAGGCTCTTTCAAGAAGTTAAACTTGAGATGGGGATCTTGGCTGGGTTTGGATGTATGACCTCAAGCGTTCACCCACTGTCTTAGGGTTTCTACTGCTGTGAAGACACTATGACCATGGCTGCTTAAGGGTATTTGCTCACACTGTGAACCCCGAGATCGCATTATTTACTGGAAAAACCTGTTTCTAGCTGTGGTGTGGCTCAGCCCTAGCACGCACCTTTTTTTTGCTTAAATATTGTAAACAGGATTAAATAAAGTCAACCATAAGTCCAGAGGCAGAGCAAGCAACTAGTTGACAGGAAGTGAACATAGGGGAAAAAACCATAGAGGGTAAACAGAGTCAGGAGGATGGAGAGAGAGATGCACAGGAAGTGGGGTGGGGGAGGCACTGAGTTTGAGGAGGTTGTTTGGAGATGGTGTAAAAGAAGAAAGGCTTCTGGGATGTCTGCTGAGGAGGAAGGTTAACTGGGTGCTTTCTCTGCCTCTCTGAGCTAGCAGGCTTTCACCCCAGCATCGGCTCCCAAGTCTTTATTAGTAAAATCAAATGACTAAGATTTTGTTAAAAACAACTCTTATAAAGGAAAACATTTGGTGGGGCAGCTTACAGTTTCAGAGGTCCAGTCCACTATCAGAGGTGTGACATGGTGGCGTGCAGGCAGACATGGTGCTGGAGCTCAGAGTTAATACATATTGATGGGCAGATAGGCAACAGCACGTGAACTGAGACACTTGAAGGTGTGGCTTGAGCACATATGAGACCTCAAAGCCCACCTCCACAGTGACGCATTTCCTCCAACAAGGCCACACCTCCTAACAGTGCCACTTCCTTTAGGGGCCATTGTTTTCAAACCACCATCCCCCACCCCCCATGGGCAAATCTATTTTCCAACAAGATGTGGCTGCCCACTGGATCTGTCCTACCTGCCTTTGCTGGAGACTAGAGACACAACATGAGTATGCTATATCAACTGAATGAATGAATAATGAATGGAATGAGTGAATGAAATTCCATCCATCATATCATGGGACACAGGTGATAGTTCATAAGCATTAAATTGTACCAGTGGACAAAAGTTGATAAAGGAGAGAATGGAGCACGAGGTGGAGAATGCACGCAACTGGACAGTTCACTCCTCACACTAGCAAGATTTGTATTGCCATACAAGTACCACAAACTGTGCAGCTTATAAACATCAGAGATTTATTCCTTTTAAAAAAGGTTAATCAGTGCAGTGGCAGATTCAATGTCTGATGAATGATTATGTCTTCACAAATGATACTTTCTCATGTGGTAGAACAAGCAAACCACCTTCCTTGGGTGTCTTGTATGAGGGGCATT